CAAGTTCACTGCGCTCGGGACGGCTTGTATTGTGACAGAAGCATTCGCCGCCACCAAGACATGCAACGACGCAGCCAAGGTCGTGTGCGCGCCAGACGCGCCAGGTACCTTCAAGCACAACACGAACGAATGGTTGCGGCAACACATCTACTTTCGTAGCAACACCCAAACCTGCTCCGTCCTCCCCAACATCACGTACGGACATATTCTCACTGTCATTTCGACTGTAGTGCTGCGTAGACACGGGCATCATCGTTGGTGTTGCTGTCGCTCTCGTTTTGCTTGTCGCGGGTGCCGTCGTTTACTGGTGGCAGCGCAAGAAGCAACCCTCTCCCTCGCCACCGGAAGAGTATATTCTCGTGGCTCCCAGTCCCAAGAGCTTGACAGGCACCATGCCGTCGACAGAGCCACCAAAAGTTTTGCCAGCGGTTAGCCTCCCGCCTTCGGAAAGCAAGCTCGTTGTCGAGATCGTTGTCGATCTCAACGTCCTCCGGCGTCTACGGCTCGAGCGCGAAGACCTTGTCGTAACAGGGTCGGCACCCATCGCGTCCGGAGCCTACGGCGAAGTGTGGCTTGGCACGTATGCCAAGCAACCCGTGGCCGTCAAGCGCGTCAAGGACAAGTCGGATAAGAGCCTCGTCAAGTTCATCGCAGAAATCGCGCTCATGGCCAGGTACTATGAAATTTGTCTTGCAAGTATGACATGAAACGTGTAGAATCGAGTGTCAGTATATCGTGTCGCTTGTCGGCGCCAGCTGGTCGCGGCCCACCGACCTCGAGTGCGTCGTCGAGTTTATGAACTTGGGGGATCTCCGCTCGTACTTGAGTTCGACGTCCCCGGATGTGTTTACATGGCGTGAAAAGCGTGCAAGCATTTTGCAAGTCGCCCAAGGCCTTGTGTACCTCCACACGTTTGAGAATCCAGTCATCCACCGCGACCTCAAGAGCCGCAACGTCTTGTTGGACGCGACCAAAGGGTCCAAACTCACCGACTTTGGCGAGTCCCGCGAGATGGACGAAGACACGCTCACGAACGGGGTCGGTACGTTCCAGTGGATGGCACCCGAGATCATTACGGGCCACGACTACTCGACCGCGGCCGACGTCTACTCATTTGGTACACCTCCAGTCTTGCATAGGGATAGGTGTCTCATGCGAGGGGTAGGGGTATTGCTCTCCGAGTATTCGACGCATCGTGTGCCGTACGCGGACAAGATGAATCCACGCACAAACAAACCCGCAAACCAGCAGTTCATCATGATGCAAGTGCTCTCGGGGCAGTTCACGCCGACGTTCGAAACGGCGACGACACCGCAATGGGTCCTCGACCTCGGCGCCAAGTGTCTCGCCCACGACCCGGAAGCGCGGCCCAATATGCTAGAGATTGCAACCCTCGTGCGCGCGGCGCACGAGTAGCTGGAACGACTCGAGTTTTGTACACAGTATGCATCCATGGGATGTGCAGCAAGTCGATATCAGAGAAAAAATACTCGTGTATTCCACCCAGTGGGAATGCCAAAAATACGTTCTGCAGTAGATCAAAGCAGGTCTTTTGTATCGATCCTGCGAGACCTTCTGTGCTAAAGTCGACCTGGCTAAACGTGTAAGTTGATTTAGCAGAGCCAAAGTAACACATAGTGTCCCAAGCTGCCGGTCGCGCGTCGGAGTCCAGCAGCGCAGACTGATCTTCTGCACCGAGACGGTGACGTTGCGAACGCATCCGCCGTGATTGTCACCGAGGATGACGAGCCTAGACCGGTCAAGCTCCGCATCGCCACGGGCTTCAAGGCCTGCTACGAAGAGCTCACTGTTGCTGGCGGACCGCAGCTCCTGCGCCCGATTCTCTCGCCCAAACACGTACCAACAGACACGCCACCCGTCGATGCGAGTGTCATCGGGTGGGCTTGTGGTCGT